CGGGTAACCAAGATTCCAGCGAAAAAACAAGAGATTCAACATGTAGATACCACCAAAAATGGAAGCTCCCAGGGCGCCGGGGCGGATCTCTCTACGTCCGTAGACGGCCACGGCAACGGAAACACCAAATGCCGCGATGAACATGCCGAAGAACGTTCGATACCAGTTCGGGCCTTCCATCAAGTCGTAAGCTAAAAGAGCCAGCATGACGATGATCGCGAAGGCGAGTCCCACCAAAATATAGCTGCGCTGCATGATCGTTTTTAGCTTCCTGCATGAAAGAAAAGGGGAGGGTGATGGTCTGCCAGCCAGCCCTGCGAGCACCACTGGCTGCGAACAGATTAGTGGCCACGAAATGCAAAGTCAACGAACTTCGCATACGATCTGGCGATAGGTATCTTGGGCCTTCCCAAGCAACTACAATGGGTGATCAAACGAACGCGCCTTTACTTCCTGCCTGTTTGCCCACCGAAGATCATGCCCCGACTATTCGCTTGCTGTTTGTCGCTTGTCACGCTTGCCCTTGTTGTCTCGTGGACCGCAGCGGTTGACGCCCAAGAGAAACCGAACGCCGCGGTCGATTTGCCTGGCCTGCTTTGCTTCTGGGACTTTCAGCAGAAAGCAGACGATGGCTACGTCAGCCGTGGTACTTACGCGTACAAACTTCAGCCGAAGAATGGTCCGATCACTACGTCGGAAGAAGGTGTCTTTGGTGGCAGCCTTCAAGTTCGCCAAGGGCAATGGCTGATGATCCCCAGGGCCGAATGCCCCGGGCTCAATTTGCATGGCCAAGATGAAGTGACGATCGTCGCATGGATTCAACGCAAGAGCGACGCCGACTGGCAGTACATTGCCGGCATGTGGAACGAACGAGACGCGAAGCGGCAGTATGCATTGTTCACGTGTGCGGCCCGGCAGACAAACTTCGAGACGATGGACCGCATTCCAGCCAAACATCAAACGCATGGCTATGCGTCGGACGTCGGCGGAGCAACGCCAGGCAAGCCGTTCTGTTTCTCGTATGCCTCTGGCGAAACGAAACTGCCCAAGGGGAAGTGGACGATGATCGCTTACACCTACGATCACGAGTTCCTGCGCGTCTATGTTGATGGAAAGCTGGACGAGAAACCTGGCTTCAATCCATTTGCGTGGGACAAGCCGATCTTCGAGGGTGGCAAAGACGGGGCCGATTTCACCGTCGCGCGTCAGTGCCTGCCGAACTGGCCGCACTATCCCAACGCAGAGAAGCCGATGCTTCGCCAAGGCTTCGGCGGCAAGCTGGCCGGGCTGGCAGTTTTCAAACGGGCTCTTTCCGCCAACGAGCTGGTCAAAATGCATGAAGTGACACTGGCGGACAAGTAAATTACGCCAAGCCAGCATCCTGCGCAAAGCATGCATTTTCGCTCTGCCACCGGTCGCAGGCGATAATTAGAACAGCTAATACATCATCTTCGTCATGGCTGTTTATCGCCTCACTGCCGCTAAAATAACGGTAGCAAATTCTTCCCTATTTCCTCTTTCACCCTGATCTAGGGAATACTGCCTAACCTGTGGCCATCACCACACCCTCCATGCGCACTATTTTTTGCGCGTTTTAACGGTTTATTCGCTGTCTAACGATTGTAACCGTTATAAGTTCTGCTTTAATTGCCTGGGTCTTGGGAACCATAGGTGACACCGAATGATTTCCCTCACTACGAGTGGTCCGCAAGACAACCTGCTACGCGTTTGACCTACCTCGCGCCGGCAGCGGAACAGCTTACCAATCCTCCCCACAGAGAAGAGACCGATGAGCAAGAGCAAGCGAACTTTCTGGAACTACATCGTCGACCAAGCGATATCACGTGAACGCCGATCCAACCGGCTTCGCCCTGACTACTCGGGGCAGCTGCTGGAAGAACGAGCGATGTTTGCGATCATTACTGGAACCGACGGCGCCGACAATCTCTCTGGTACCTCGGAAAACGACGAGATTGAAGGCCTCGGCGGACCTGACACCATCGCCGGTAACGCTGGCAACGACGAGATCTATGGCGGTGGTGGCGGTGACTTCCTGCTGGGCAACAACGGCGATGACCTGCTGAGCGGCGGCGGCGGCGGTGACGAGATTCATGGTGGTGGCGGAAACGACGTCATCCGCGGTGGCCAAGGACCGGATGATCTTTACGGCGAACGCGGAAACGACACCATTCATGGTGATGGCCAAGCCGATACGATCGACGGCGGCT